CAACACACACACAACACACACACAACACACACACAACACACACACTTAGCGCGTTATATATAGTAGGATTGATGAAAATTGCGTTCTAGAAAAAGAGGGCCGCGAGCAACCGATGCGCGTTTTTCTCCATGACAGCAGCTTTTATGTGAACTTCATGGTCACGGTGTTCTTTTTTTTTTTGAATTCTTTTGCTAAGTTTTTACTTTTTGATTGTATCCCTTAGTGGTTATTCAGTCATGAGCTGAATTATACACAGAATTCGCTTCGAGGAGCTTTTGCGGGATTTGCAACTTATCGTTAACAGTGAAGACGTTGATGGCAACCGTCTTTTCAAATATTCATTTTTGAGGTTTCTCAATAGGCATTGTATGGAACACTAGAAGTGCGACAAAAACTTCCGCATCGATGAGTCACTAGACCTTTTTGAAGGGAAATTTCATTTGATGCAGTTCCTTCAAAGAAGCACAGTTATGGTATCGACCTTAAAATTTCAAAAATTGAAGATTTTCTAGTGTATCTCACTAGATAGCTTCTCTTATTTTTAATTCAATGGTTTGAGGAAAAGGAGTTATAGCTAATATAAAATGAAGAATAACAACCGTAGTCCGCATATGGACGACATGGTTCCGCGCGACCCAAAATGTGTAGTTCAAATGTGGACTAAATTGTTGTCTATTTGTTAAAAGAGCTTGTGAAAGAAACCAATTTTATAGCATGAAGAGAAGCCACTGTTGCTAACGTGTATCATTATGGATGTCGTTTATCTGTTCACATGGATATTGCTCTGGTTGATGTTGACATTGAAAAGGGAATGGTCGTTCAACGTCGCTCACAAAGTGCACCAGATGTATGCCCTTCAGGTGCAGTTTGCATATTCATTTGTAGTCGCTTACTTTGCACATGTATTGTTCAAATACTGGCAGTCTCAATAAATTCAAACATTCGTCATTTAAAAGCAGTTTAAGTATTACCTTTGATTCACCCCATGTTCGAGCATCGTTTGTGCTATTGCCTTCTAGCGCATGTGTGCTTTTGCTGGCCTCTATTGACTTTTCCTTGAATTGTTTTGAATATTTTCTGTTCTGTGGTCTCTAAAACATTTACTGTCGGTGCAGTGAGTTTTTTATCTTACTAGAGAGGTCTTTCAGGGTGTGGGACGCTTTTTGAAAATGTTTTTTCTGCATGGTGTAGGGGCATGAGCACTGAGTATTGAATAATGGTTCGTTTCCGCTAAATGAGCTTCTGAATGCCAAAAAAGGAGTAATAATGATTTAATCGGAAATTAATGTTTTGACCCAATAACTGTCGTTTGTTTCATTCACGGCGTCGACTGTCCGCACAGTAGAAGGCGCCAGTGGACTGCGCAATGAAAATAATGTGAACGGTAGCCAAAAAAAGGGACGCACATGTTGAAAAGTGCGGGGAAGTTTCATATGTGCCCTGTACTGATGAGCTGCTGGCAGCGACGCAGCGACGGATGGTGTGGTGGATAGCGATGTGGGTTTTTAGCTGGGACGGTTGGGCTGGGTTGATGGCTCGAATTCTGAAGGTTTTGCCGTTTTTGCATTCTGTGCTGCCACCTCCAGATTGGCTCCATATTGCACCAGAGCCAAAGCAATGAGCCAGAGAGGTGGAGGTGGACGACTAGGCTGGCCCTGGCCTGGCCGGCCACCTAGTCGTATTCGATCTCCAGGCATACTTGTTACTAGCGCCACTGCTTCACACGATGTATTCCTCCGCATCTCGTTCACTCCTACGACTGATGCCAAAAGCGTCTGTTGAGGTTAAATCAGTGGCCTGTATGTATATACATTGGCCGTGACCTTTAACGTTATTTATGTGTGTAATTGAATAATGCAGGGATGCCTCGGATCTGTCATCATTTTCTGAGTACCCACTCCATGATTTTTCAATTGATAAGTCTGTGAGTGTTTTTTCAGGTGTAAAGTAAATCTCGATCGCGAACTCGAATATCCAGGTTTTCTCGGTGAAATCTACATCCGCAGCCGAACACACGGGAACCTGTTTACGGACACCATACCGAAGAAGATTGCCAACTACGTACTGCGTAGCTCTGCCCTAA